AGGGAGCCCGATGCGGGACTCGATCCCGGGACTCCAGGATCATGACCTGAGCCGAAGGCAGTCGCTTAACTGACTGAGCCACCCAGGCGCCCCTCGTCTTTCATTTCTTTTGTGGTAACCTCCTTACGCTCTGTCCCTGTTGAATGTGTCAGTAGTGAGTGGAGGAATGTTCTGCTGTATGAATTTACCTCCATTTGTTTCTCCATTCTCCTGTGGGTAGACATTTGGTCTGTTTCCAGTTTGGGGGTTACTGTGAGTATTGCTGCTGTGAACATTCCAGTATATGTCCCTTGGTAAACAAACACACTCCTTTCTGTCGGGTTGGGTTGTGGAATTGCTGGGTCATGGGGTGTGGGCACGTATTGGGTTTTAATTTTTACTGCCAAGCAGTTTTCCATAGTGGTTGAACCATTTTATACTTCCACCACTGTTCATCTGTATCTTTGTCAACACTTGGCACCGTCAGTTTTTAAAATTTCAGCCATCCTGGTGGATGGTAACTTGTATTTCCTCCTAAATGAGATTGTGTGCGTTCCTTGGTAGCGTGGGTGACTCTTGTGAAGTGGCCTTGCTCTTTTCTCCTTGTCTCCCAGGGGGCTCACCTCAAGCCTACAAGCTGCTGCCCGGGCCCAGGCCCTCGTCTGACTCGGGCCCGGACACTCAAGGAAGCAGCGCGTGGGGATGGGGCCGTGCAGGCCCTCCCTGCCGTGGGGTGTGCTGCCTCTGGGCCGGGGCGGCCAGGGCAGGCCCCTGCGTGCTGACACCTGGCTTCCAGAGGCTGTTCTCTGTCGTCCCGCCTGGGCAGCCTCTGCCGGCAGCTCCCCGGGGAGCAGGCCATCCTCTTGGCATCGGTGCCTGGTATTTCATCACCCCAGGACTGCGTCATAGACACCTCAGTGGAGGCGCCACCCTCAGCGGGAGGACGGGTCGGGATCCAGGCGGGGCGCAGGGGATCTTCCAGTTCCTCCCCCTGCCCTTGCCCAAGCTGCCGAAATGAGAATGTAGAAAGTGGCCCCGGGGTGCCGAGCAGTGGGGAGACCCGAGGTAAATGGCTTCCACTCTCCGAGCTTCTGCCTTCCCTTGGGCATGGTCACTGCCCCTCCGGTGGGGCGGTTGGGATCATTCAGGAGGGACCCCACGAGGGCACCGGCTCCCCACTTGCTCAAGGCCACCTGGCTGGCAGTGGCTTGCGGACTCTGCGACCCTGACCACTGTTGGCCACACCTGGCTGCTTTTGCTTCTCTCTGATCACGGCAGCTGCGTGTTTGAGTGCTCACCCACGTGTTCGCGTGTTCCCCAGGGGCCGGGCCAGGCAGTAGGCCGAGCCTCTGCACGCAGCGGGTGCTTCAGCGCTGCTGACTACCCCGAGACACGCAGAATCACGGAGGTGAAGTCGCCGGGCTGGGGATGGGAGGGGAATGTCGAGATTGGACGCCAGGCCCACCCGGTCCTGTCCTTCCATGTCCACCCTTCCTTGGGACTTGAGTTCTCCATACCGGTTCTTTGGAACTTGCGAACTGAGCTGAGGGGGAAGCGTGGTGTTCGCCCCCGTGTCAGGGGACAACGTCTCGAACTTCCCACCACCCCCTCACGCCGGGCCCTAACTGTTCTTCCTGCCCACCTCTCCTGGCTCCTTGGCCACACCAGCCCCTTGGCAGTTCTTCACGCTCTACAAGTACTTCCTGACTCAGAGGTTTGCACTTGCTCTTCCCCTGCCCGAAATTCTTTTCCCTACATGGCAGCGTGGCTCCCTCCCTCCTCACATGTCCCCCGACCACACAGCTAACATAGCACCCCACATTCCCTGCCACCCTTTCTCCTGCTTGACTTTGCTTCTCAGTGCCTCTTCACCACCTGACATTGTTACACGCATACTTGTGTGTTGTCTGCCGCCTCCACCAGGGTGAGAGCTTCACGAAGGCAGGGGCCGTGTCTTGTCTTCCTGATGATTCATCTCTGGTATCCCTCTGGTTGTCTGGAGCTTAGGACACGCTCAGAGAAGATTGGTGGCATGAATAGATTCTGGAAATGTTTCCATGGCTCTGTCTGGTCCTGGGCTGGGGAGACTTGGGTTCTTTCATTATGTACTCAGCAGATATCCAGATGCTGTGCTGGTCCACTAGATTAGCACTTAATAGGTGTCGGAAGAATTGGTTGAGGAGGTGCGCAGAGAGTACCCAGGCAGCCTCTGAGGTCAGGAAGGCTTCCTGGAGGAGGCTGGTTCAGCTGAGACCTCCAGGAGGAGGGAGAACCCACAGAAGGTACAGGTACAGGGAATGGAGGCCAGAGGGATGGGCCTGAGAGACAGAAGCCTGGTGGGGGGGGGGGGCTGGAGACGGAGGTAGTACCAGGTATAATTATTGTCACGGTTATTAGGTTTTATAGAGAGCTTTCTAGGTGACCCTAAGCTCGTGGTGGAAAGGACTTTGTTCTGTGTCTGAGCACACTGGGGGGCCCGGGAAGGGTTTTTAACCTGGAGGAACGGGGCCAGATTTAGATGGAGTCTAAGGGTTGAAAGCAGAGACTCAGAGCCCAGGGAGAAGGCCAGGGCAGTTGGGAGAGGCGTCAGGACGCGGGTGAAGGGACAGTGGGGGCCGCTGAGCCGAGCAGGGGCAGGGGGCAGCTGGAGTGAAGGTCAGCAGAGGCCGGGTCCTAAAGGGCCTTGAATCCCAAGCGAGGGAGCTTGGCTCTTTCCTGAGGTCAGCGGGAAGCCACGAAAGGCTTTTGAGTGGGGGAAGGATAGGGTTAGGTTTAAGGGGTCTGGCTGGTGAATGGGGACAGATCGGAGAGAGCAATAAGGTAGTGGGTGGGGAGTCTAGGGAGGGGGTGCGGGAGCCCTCGAGGGAGAGGACAGCACTGGACCTGAGCCAGTGAGCCAGGCCATCCCCAGGGCGGGAGGTGGGGCAGGGGGCGGGGCAGGTGCAGAGACTGGTCACGTTAGAGGTGGAAGGCAGGCTGGTGGGATTGTCAGGCTCTCCTGTCCTGGGTGGTCCGTTCGTTCATCCATCTGTGGAACGGGAGCCCTCGGGGCTGGTCCCGCCTGCTGCAGGAGGGAGCCCCTGTGCTGCTTCTGGCCCTGCCTTTGCGGCTCAGTCCAGAACGTGATCTCTCACCCCACTGTTTACTTCCCTGTCACTGTCCGTCTTGTCTCTCCTTTCGCTTCCTCCCACTTACCTCCCTTCCCTGCCCGGGTCTGGGCGGCCTGCCACCGTCACATGCCAGGCAGTAGTGCGGCCGGCCCCCCAGCTCCCCTGGGCCATGAGAGAAAGCCGATGCCCGTGGTGTCCCTAGAGCCAGCTGCCACTTCTCTGGGGGCCGCTGTTGCTCCTGACCTGCTGTCCGCAAATAACCCCGGGCCGGGCAAGGCGAAAGGCGCCTTGGGCTCCGTGGCCCCTTTCCAGGCCTGTGGCTCTAGGTAGGGGCCCAGTGGGCGGCTGCCTCCCGCCCTCCTCCCTTCCACCCTGGGAACCTGAGACGAAGCAGCGGCCTCGGCGTCTGTCAGTCTGTCGGCTGCTGGTCCCTGAGGACGGAAGTGGAGGTCTTGGGGAAGGGACCAGGGCCTTGGTTGAGCCCCCGGGACCGGCTCCTAAGCCCCAGACAAGTGCATTCGCAGTAGGTTGCTGTCTTGTTCAAGATCCCGAGCGTCGGAAACTTGTCTTCCCTCAGTCATCTGGTGGGGGCAAAGAGGGGCTGAGGCTGAGGGAGTGACACAGGGTGGCTTGGCGCAGGGGTTTGGGGGCACTTGGTTTGCTGAGGGTGGTAGGTTGGAAGGAGGGGAGGGGGCGGAGAGAGTGTGTGCGCGCGCGCGTGTGTCTGTGTGTCGGGGTGGGGGGGCGGCAGGCAGATGCTGGCGGCTCTGAGCACTCCCTCAGGTGCCCAGGGCTGTCTGATTCATTCCAGGTCACCACAGTGTGGGGGCCTGGGAATGACCTGGGGTGGAGCCCACTCTGGGGTGAAGGTGGGTGGAGAGGCTGCCTCCGCTCAGCAAGGCCTGCCTAGGCCGGGGAGCTCTGTTCCCTCCAGAGTAAGGCTCCGAGGGCAGGGTCAGGCCCCCCCCCCCCGCCCCCAGTTGGAGTCCCTGAGGACGAGGCCACATCTTCCTCCTCGGACTGGGCCAAGTGGGCAGGGCTCCCTATCCCCACCGCCTCCACCCTGCGCAGCGCAGGCAGAGCGGCTGGAGGGGCCGGCCGGCCGGGCTGTCGTGAGGCCAGGGGCTGTGGTGAGTCCCCCTCGAGTTCTCATGAGCTGCTCTCTTGTCTTGCAGACTGTGCTCTGTCCACTGTGCCTCCTGCATGTCCTGCTGCCCTGAGCTGTCCTAAGCTAGGTGACAGCGTGTCAACGCTGCCACCATGAATGAGGTGTCTGTCATCAAAGAAGGCTGGCTCCACAAGCGTGGTAAGGGGCTGCTTTTGTCCACTGGATTGCGTCTCTCCCCTCCTGCCTTGGCTTTGCTCCTGGCACCTGGTGCCCAGGGAGGCAGAGGTACAGGGTCTTTGCAGCCCGAGGAGCCAGGGTGCTGAGTCCTACCCGCCTGCCCCCGGCCAGTAGCTCCTTACAAGCCCGTTTCATGGACTTCTTCAGCAGCAGCCTGGGGATGCTCCTGGGCATCATCCGGCATGAGCTCCCGGGCCAGGTCTCGAGTCTGCCTCTGCATTCGTGGTCTCAGTCATAGCCCCATTTTATAGATGAAGAAACTGAGGCTCGGGGAGGGGAAGTCACTTAACTGAAGTAACACAGTGAGGCAATACTCAACATTCATTCCGCAAATACTCAATGAGTATGTGTGGTGTGCCAGGCCGTCCGGGCTCCCAGGCTCCTGGGACGTGTGGTGCCCTCATGGAGTTCACATTCTAGTGGGGGCTGGGGACAGCGAACAGAGAAGCAGACATACGATGTCAGGTGGTGAGGAGTGCCGTTGTGAGCAGTAGGGACTCTGAGGACGAGCCTCTCTGAGGAGGGGACAGTGATGGAGGCCCCGGGGGGAGAGGGGAGGCGAGGAGGTGAGCCACACACAGAGCTGGGCAAGGCTGTCCCAGGGAATGGGACAGCAGGGATGAAGGCGGGAGCGCGCCTGGTTGAGTTGGCCAGGCTGGCTGGAGCGGAGAGAGCGAGGGCAAGCCGGATGTGGCATCCAACCGTGCTGGGCCCTGGAGGCCACGGGAAGGACCTTGGCTTTAATTAACCCTTCAGGCGGTCTGAGCCCAGGGCCCCGGGAGCTGGGGCATGGCCTTGTCTGCTTGTACGGGTGGGCGGCTGAGGCCTGGAGAAATGAAGTCATTGACAGTGAAGAGCTTAACAGCCTATTCTGTTAGAGCCCAGGCCTTCTGGCCCCAGAAGCGTGGTGCCCACCGGCTTGGCGGGGGCGGGGGGGCAGCTGTCCAGGCACTGCGGGGTGGAGGCCGACTGTCCCGGCTTCCGTGGACCTTCTCCTAGGGCGGGAGGGGGCAAAGCCTGGTGGTAGCCGCTCTCCGTATGCGTCCATTCAGTCAGTAGACGCGGACTGAGCAGCTACTGTGGTCCAGGTGCTGGCTACTCGGCAGTGAACCAGATAGGCGGAAGTCCCCTTCTCACATTGGCGTCTTACATTTAGTGGGGAGGGTGGGCGGCACCCAAGGGGACCGGTGCGAGCAGTGGTGGTAAGGGGCATGGAGAAAAATCAAGCAACGCGAGAAGGGATGTGGGAGGAAGCAGGGGGAGCTGTCATAAACAGGTGTTTAGGGAGGGCTCACTGAGAAGGGGCATTTGATAACGACCTGCAGGAGTGCAGGGAGTGAGCCCCATGGCTAACTGGGGCAGGAGAGTGCAGGTGAAGGGGCCAGCCATGAGTCCGGAGGGGGAGTGGGCCGGACATGTTTGAAGAGACAAGGAGGCCGATGTGGGGCCAGCCTGGTGGGAACCAGGAGAAGTGCTCACCCATCGTGCCCTGTCCTGGTCTGCAGACACAGAGCAGTGATGAGGGACGGAGGTGATCCCCAGGGCCAGGCCTCTGCCATCAGACTGGGCAGGGGAAACCTGTTTCCCACTGCCCTTTGCAGGCAGGGGTGGTATTTGAGGCACCTTGACCCTACCTGCTCAGGGTGGGCTGTGAGTTTGGGGCTGTCGGTGGAGCTTTCTGAGCTTTGGCAGATGTCCCAGTTCTAATCCTGGCTCTGCTACTTCCTTTTGGTGACTCTGAGCAAGCTCTGTTGCCTCTCTGAGCCTTGGTTTCACATCTGTAAAATGGGTTAACAGTGTAGGCCTGTGACCTCAGTTCTCCGAGGGCAGGGATTTTATCTGGCTATTTACTGTGGTATCCCCAGGGCCTAGGAAAGTTCCTGGCATGCAATAGGTGCTCAATAACTGATTGCTGGCTGACTGATTGGGATTGTGTGGGCGTGGTATGCGGGTGCTAGGGTGTTGCCGGGGTCTCAGCTCCTGAGTGTCCCCCGGCCGGTGGCTTGCTGGGCTGGGCTGTGAGGAGCTCTGGAGGCAGCCAGAGAGCTGTTGCTGGGGCGGGAGCTTGGGTCTGGTTTAGGGCTGCTGACGGCATTAAATGGGTCTCAGCCCCTCTTACGCCTTCAGCACCTCCGTTCATGCTGCAGGGACCCTGATGGGCTGCTGGGATGGCCTAGCCAGGACATACCCACCTTGGGTTTGCACCGTATACACCCAGAAGCACGGTGCTCCCGGGCCTCCCGTTGCCCGCCATTCTTTTTTTTTTTTTAAAGTAAGCTCTAGGCCCATTGTGGGGCTTAAACTCACGAGCCCGAGATCAAGAGTCGTATGCTCTACTGACAGAGCCAGCCAAGCGCCCTCCCGTGGCCCACCATTCTGAGCAGAGGTGGGCAAGGGCAGGTGGGCACCGCTGCCATCTCACCCCACCTCTGGTGGTTAAAAGTAGTAGAGCCCCAGTTGACCATGTGCCTGTTCGGTGCCAGGCACAGGGCTCTGCTCTAGGTGAGCCCAGTTTTGTTGCGTTCCCCATAGCTACCCTGGGAGGCGGGCACCATCTTAGAGGCAAGGAAGCTGAGGCTCGGCGAGAAGACTGATTTACCCCAAGATTCAGCGAAGACTTATCCTCTGCCTCCTGAAGCAGTTCTCTCAAGTCCTGGCCTACAGGCTGCCTCTTGCTAAGCAGGATCTGCTCAAGGAACAGGCCAAGCAAGAGCACAACTCTTGGAGTCCCTCATGCCCTGTGCTGGTCCCCTTCCTGACACAGCCTCGGCACACCCTCTGCTGGTCCCCACCAGGCCAGCCCCCGTCTGCCAGTTTTGAGGCAGGCAGTGTAGTGGTCAGGAGTGGGGGCTCTGGATGGAGCAAACCTGAGTTCGGATCCCACCTCTCCAGTTAACCCCCATGAGCCTCGGGCAAGTAATGGAGCCTCTGGGCTTCAGTGTTCTTGTCTGTAAAATGGGATTGTTGTGAGGATGTTGTTCCTTTCCTCCTAGGTTTCCTTTTTTTTTTTTTTTCATTTTTCCTTATTACCAACATATAAACCACCACAGGTGAGTGCCTGGATCATAAACTCACTCTAAAACCAACATCCAGATCAAGATGTAGAACAAGACAGTCCCCAGAAGACCTCTGCCCTTCCCAAACAGGAACACTTTCCTAACTGATAGTAGCCTTAGGTGTGTTTTTCTGGGTTGGTTTGTTTTGCTCTTAAAAATGGAGGTAAAATTGGGGCTCCTGGGTGGCTCAGTTGGTTAAGCGGCTGCCTTCAGCTCAGGTCATGATCCCAGGGTCCTGGGATCGAGCCCCGCATCGGGCTCCCTGCTCAGCGGAGAGCCTGCTTCTCCCTCTCTCTCTGCCTACCACTCTGCCTATTTGTACTCTCTCTCTGTCAAATAAATAAAAAAATAAATAAAATATTAAAAAAAAAAATGGAGGTAAAAATTGGGGCTCCTGGGTGGCTCAGTTGGTTAAGCGGCTGCCTTCAGCTCAGGTCATGATCCCAGGGTCCTGGGATCGAGCCCCGCATCGGGCTCCCTGCTCAGCGGGGAGTCTGCTTATCCCTCTGTGTTCTCTCTCTTGCTGTCTCAAATAAGTAAAATCTTTAAAATAAATAAGTAAACAAAATCTTTAAAATAAATAAATAAAATGGAGGTAAAATGAGGGCACCTGGGTGACTCAGGGGTCTGCCTTCAGCTCAGGTCATGATCCCAGGGTCCTGGGATCGAGCCCCATGGCAGGCTCCCTGCTCAGCAGGGAGTCTGCTTCTCCCTCTCCCTCTGCCCCCCTCCCAGCTCGTGCTCACTCTATCTCAAATAAATAAATAAAACTTAAAAAAAAAAAATTAAAATGGAGGTAAAAGTTGCATAACACGAAATTAACCATTTTAAAGTGTGCAATTCAGTAGCCTTTAGTACATTCACAGTGTGGCGTAACCACCACCTCTGTCTAGTTCCAAAACAGTTTCATCTCCCTAAAAGAAACCCCGTACTTATTAAGCAGTCACTCTCCATTCCCCCCTCCTCCCAGCCCCGGCGGCCTCCAGTTTGTTTTGATTTGTTTTCTGTCTCTAAGGATTGACTTATTATGGACATTTCATACAAATGAATCATAAAATAGGTGGCCTTTTGTGTTTGGCTCCCTTTCACTTACCATAATGTCTTTGAGGTTCATCCATATCGTACCTTGGATCAGCACTTCTTTTCTTCTTATGGCCAAACAACATTCCATTGCATGAGAATACCACATTTTGTTTGTCCATACATCAGTGGTGAACATTTGGGTTATTTCTACCTTTTGGCTATTGTGAATAGAGCTGCTACGAACATTTGTGTACAAGCATTTGAGTACTTGTTTTCAATTCTTTTGGGTACATTCCTAGGAGTGTAATTGCTGGATCATATGTTCTATATTTATAATCGGTATTTATATAGGTTATATAAATTGGGTCACATATTCTATAATTATAATTTAATGCATTCTGTGTGATTTGATAATATATTTATGTTTTTATGTTATCAGGGTTGTATATTCTGTATTTATAATCTACAGCATATTCTATATTTAAAATTTTTGAGAAGCACCAGACTTTTCCATAGGGCTGTAGCATTTCACATTCCCACCAGCCGTGTACAAGGGTTTCACTTTCTCCCACATCCTCACCAACACTTGTTCTGTTTCTTTTCTTTTCTTTCTCTTTTATTATTATTATTTTAAAATTTTTTTAGAAGGGGGAGGGACAGAGGAAGAGGGAGAGAGAGAATTTTAAATAGGCTCCAAGCCCAGCATGGAGCCGGTTGCAGGGCTCAATCTCACAACCTGAGATGATGACTTGAGCTGAAATCAAGAGTCAGACGTGGGGCGCCTGGGTGGCTCAGGTCATGATCCTAGGGTCCTGGGATCGAGCCCTGAGTTGGGCTCCCTGCTCAGTCGGGGAGCCTCCTTCTCCTCTCCCTCTGCTGCTTCCCTTGCTTGTGTGCTCTCTCTGTCAAATAAGTAAAGAAAATCTTCAAAAAAAAAAAAAAAGACGCTGAAATGATTGAGCCACCCACGCGCCCCTTTACTTTTCTCTCTTTTAAATTAAGTCCTCCTAGTTGGTATGAGGTGGTAGCTCATCATGGTTTTGACTTGCATTTTCCTAATGACTAATGATGTTGAGCATTTTTTCATGTGCTTGATGGCCATTTTTATATCTTTAGAGAAATGCCTATTTGAGCCCTTTGCCCGTTTTTTAATTGGGCTATTTATCTTTTTGTTGTTGAGTTGTAAGAACTCTTCATATATTCTGGATACTAGACCTTTATCAGAGCTATGATTTGCAGATATTTTTGCCCATTCTGGTTGTCTTTTTATCTTCTTGATAATGTCCTTTGCACGTAAGTTTTATTTTTAATGATCTACTTTTTTTTCTTTTGTTGCTTGTAATGTTGGTGTCATATCTAAGAATCCATTGCCAAATCCAGGGTTATGAAGGCTCACCCCATGTATTCTTCTAAGAGTTTACCATTTTAGCTCTCATATTTAAGTAGATCCACGTTGAGTTAACTTTTATATATGGTATATGGTGTGAGGCTGGAGTCCAGCTCTGTTCTTTTGCATGTGGATGTCCTGTTGTTCCACCATTTGTTGAATAGACTATTGTTTCCCCACAGGATGGTCTTAGCACTCTTGTTGAAAATTGATTGATCATATGTGTGAGGTTTTTTTTTTGACTCTCAGTTCTATTCCATTGGTCTATCTGTCTATCCTTAGACCATGCTGATTTGATTACCGTAGCTTTGTAGTAAGTTTTGAAATCGGGAAGTATAAAGATTGACTTTTCTATTTCTGCAAAAAGAGTTGTTGGAATTTCAATAGGTGCCATGCCATGTTGAATCTGTAGATTGCTTTAGGGAGTGTCGCCATCTTAACATATGAAGCCTTCTAATCCATGCACATAGGACTTTTTTTTAAAGATTTTATTTGACACAGAGAGGGAGCACAAGCAGGGGTGGCGTGGCAGGCAGAGGGAGAGGGAGAAGCAGGCTCCCTGCTGAGCAGGGAGCCCGATGTGGGGCTCGATCCCAGGACTCTGGGATCACGACCCGAGCCGAAGGCAGACGCTCAACCATCTGAGCCACCCAGGCGCACCACATAGGACATCTTTGCATTTGTTTAGGGCTTTAATTTATTTCAGCAGTGTTCTGTAGTTTTTAGTGTGTACATCTTTTGCCTCCTTGTACTATTGTAAATGGAATTTTTTTTAAATTCCCTTTTTGGACTGTTCATTGTTAACATATAGAAACAAGAGCTGGTTTTTGTGTGTTAATCTTGCCACATGTATTAGCTCTTATCATTACTTTGTGGATTCTTTGTGATTTCTGCAAGTAAAGTTCGTTTTACTTATTCCTTCTCAAGTTTAGTGCCTTTTATCTCTTTCTTTTTCTTTTTCTCTGGCTAGAAGTTCCAGTGCAGTGTTTGGTGAAAGCAGTAGATATCTTGGTTTTTTCCCTGATGTTAATGAGAAAGTTTTCAGTCTTTCATCACTGAATGATATTACCTGTGGATTTTTCATAGATGCGCTTTATCATGTGGAGGAAATTCTCTTCTATTCCTAGCTTGCTGAGTATTCTTTTATCAAGAAAGTGTGTTGGGTTTTGTCAAATATTTTTCTGTCGCAGTCGAAATGATCATGTGGTTCCCCCCCTCCTTTGTTCTGTTAATGTGTATTGCATTGATTGATTTTCATATATTGAACCACCTTTGCATTCCTGGGATAAAATCTGCTTGGTCATGTCTGTATACTCCTTTGCGCTGTTGGATTTGGGATTTTGCTGGGTTTTGAACTTTATATCGACATTGGAAAGAATTGAGTAAGTTAAGTCCTAAAAGATACTTAGGGTAACACCTGACACAGTACACACTGGAGTGTTACCTAATCCTTGTCATCCGTTAATGGATACCTCCCTGTGAGAGGAGACAAAGACTCAGAGAAGTTAGGTGACTTATTGGAGGCCACACAGCACACCCAGCTCAGAGCCCACCCTGCAGTCCTGCTTCCTGTGTGCCATGGGGGTCGGGGGCCTGGCACAGTCTTGTTTTACTCGCTTGCACGCTGGGCTGATGATAACAAGCGTTTACTGAGTGCCTGTGGTGTGTTGGGCCCTAAGCTGGATGTCTTATGGTGGCCATCTCATGTTCTTTTAACAGCTTGAGCTAGAATTCACACACCATACAATTCAGGAATTTAAAGTATACAGTTCAGTGGCTTTTAGTGTAGTCAGAGTTGTAGACCCCTCACCGCAGTCAATTTTAGAGCATTTTCACTCCCCTGGAAAGGACCCTGCCCTCCCCCTTGGCCATTCCCCTCCGACCTCCCCCTACACTTCCCCCTCTCAGTCCTAGGCAGCCACTAATCTGCTTTTCACCTATAGATTTGCCTACTCTGGACATTTTATACACATGGAATCATAATTTGTGGTCCCAAGCTTTTTTCACTTAGCATAGGTTATGGTTCGTCCATGTTGTATGTAGTGTGTAGTAATAACTTTTTCATAGGACTGAGTAATATTCTCTTGTATGGATATATGCCACGTTCTGTCTCTCTGTTCATTAGCTGATGGGACTTACGAGTTTCCCCTTTTTACAATTGTGAATAATAATTGCTGTGGACATTTACGCACAAATTTTTCTGGAGGTATGTTTCACCATCTTAATTTAATCCTCAGCGGCCCTCTGAGGAGTGGGTCCTTGCCGTGTGGGTGTGTGTACACGGGGTGCCTGGATATTCATGGTTCGAACAAATGGAAGCAATCAAGGGGCACTCAGAGGGCGCAGCAGCAGTTATACCATGCCTGGCACAGTGTTTTGACATTTGATCCACCTGCACGGCTGTCCTGGTGAATACCAGCCCAGGGGATTTGGCCTTACAGGGCCACAGGGCATGTGTGTTTGGAAGCCTGGGCCTCCCCTGGGAGCGGGCCACGCGCTGGCAAGGACGGCCAGGATGGCTTGCTGCTGGCCACACGCGGAGGCAGCTGGTGCCCTGGGGCACTGCAGCAGGCGCCTTCCTGCCAGGCCTGACCTCTGGATCACTGGGGCCCAGCCCAGCGCCCGGCCTGGCCCAGCCTGCGTCAGCAGGGGCTGCCTGGAGGTTTTCTCTCTCCTCCCCGCCCTCTCATCGGCCCTCCTCCCACCCGGGTGCCCTCTGTGGGGTGCAGTGACACAGGGCTGCCTGCCCTGACCTCTCTCCCTCCCCCCTGCTTCGGCTCAGGTGAATACATCAAGACCTGGAGGCCCCGGTACTTCCTGTTGAAGAGTGACGGCTCCTTCATTGGATACAAGGAGCGGCCTGACGCCCCTGACCAGACCCTGCCCCCCCTGAACAACTTCTCTGTCGCAGGTGCGTCTCGGGGCACGCCAGGCCAGAGGTCAGGTGCTCGGGGAACCAACCGCTGGTGGGTCCAGGGGGCACCCGGGGGTTGGCCTTTCTTGGGTGTGGGCCTGTCCAGGGCCTGCTTGCCCTCGGATCCATTTCCCACCCTTCCCTCCTGCCCCACTTTTGTGTCAGCTGGGCCTGGAGTGGGAGGGCTGAACTGGTGGCCAGTGGGGAGCCAGGCATTTCCCCAGCCCCCCGCCCCAGGCAGCACCGCCTCCGCGGTTCTAAATCTGCCGACCAGGCCCCGTGGTTCTGGTTGGTGTCAGGCACCTGCCATCCTTCCTGCGCTCTGGTAACAGTCCACTTCTCTGTCCCTCTGACGTTAGCTAGAGACAGACAGCGTGGCCTCCCGCTCATCTGATCACAGGGCTAACTTCACATCCTCTGTCCCCTCCGTGGTACCGCAAGTGGTGCCTTCCAGCTGGACTCTGGCCAGTGAAAGCTTGGCAGGCCCAAATCCCTGACCACTGAGCTGTCACCGTCTGGTGGTCTGTTCCCCTCCCCAACATACACTGGACCTTGAGCCCCATAGAGACAAGGCCAGGGCCGACTCGGTCACTAACGTATCTCTACACCATCTGGCATGCAGGAGGTGGCTCAGGGAATGTGGGCTGCAGGGCGGCAGGGCTGTCCCCTCACTCTCCCGGCTCTGTCCCCTTTTTCTGTCTGCAGAATGCCAGCTGATGAAGACTGAGAGACCACGGCCCAACACCTTTGTCATACGCTGCCTGCAATGGACCACGGTCATCGAGAGGACCTTCCACGTAGACTCTCCAGATGAGAGGTGAGCTTGGGCCTCCGTGTGGCCACCCTTTGAGGGTGGCCTGGCCTAGCGTGAGGAGGAGGTCCACAGATGGACAGAGTCCCTTGGGCCCCTGCCCAGGACCCTGGGATCATGACCTGAGCTGAAGGCAGTTGCCTAACGAACTTAGCCACCCAGGCTCCCAGGGAGCTGCATTTTTAATGAGCATCGCCATTGATTTTGAAGCAGACGGTCCAGAGATTCAGTATTAAAAGGATCAGTTTAATCATCAGAAGAGATGATACAGATTTACCTAGTTCAAAAGTCAAACAGTGCCAGGAGGTGTCTGTCACTTCTGCCCCATTCACCCCCGCGCCCCGCTAACCGCTCTTCTGTCTTCTTGGAGAGCTTCATGGGTGGACCGGCTCATTCAGATAGACGTTTGCACCCTGCTCCCCTGGTTGGTTCTTTTTACACAAAAGGTAGCATCGTACACAGACTTCTGAACTCTGTTTTTTCCTCAGTGTGTCTTGGGGCATCTTTCTGCTTCAGTCTCCAGAGAGCTGCTGCCTCCACCGCACTGGCTTTGGTTTTTCTTTTAGACAGTGGCACACCTGTGTCCCCAAGTTTCCTGAGCGGGTTCTTGATGCATGTGGTCGGGGTTGTTTCCAGGCTTTGGCTCATTCCAGGTGGTGCCACGGTGAAGTACCCTGTGCTTACCTCGTTCGACGGATGTGCAGGCGAGCCTGTAAGAGGAGTTCTTAGATGCGGGATTTCTGGGTCACCAGGAATATGCATTTGTGATTTTTAAGAGTGATGTCTAAGAGTCCTCGCAGCCTTCTGTTGTCTAACATTTGGATTTTTACCAGTCTGATCAGTGGGAAGTGGCACCTTAAGGTGGTTTTCACTGACCCTTTTGTCTGTACGGGTGAAGTCGAGCATCCTCTCCTACCTTCAAGGGCCACACGAGTTTCCCTTTCTGAACTGTCTGTTCATAACCTTTGCTTATTTTTCTGTTGGGTAGTCAGTCTTCATCTCATTTCTGAAACCCCTTTATGTACCAGGAAGCTTAGACCTTCGTAATGAGTAGCACATATCTTTTCCCCCACTTTGTCCCTTTGGACCTCACTTTGAGAAACACTTCTTTGGCTTGTGTTCGGGTGAGGATTCAGCCGACCCTGTGGAGAACCCAGGAAAATGGCGCCGTCCCTGAGAATCTTTGGCCATGACAGAAGTATTTGGTACCTGTGGTGTCCGAGAGGGGGGCCAGGAGTCACAGGTGCCTTTTGAGCTTTTGAAATGTGAAATGTGGCTAGTGCAACAGAGCTGGAATTTTTATTTAATCAATTTAAACTTAAGTAGCCGCATATGGCTGGTGGCTCCCTCTCGGACAGTGTGTATCTAGAGGATACGCAAAACAATATCATAAGATGTATTTCCATAGTCTGTAGTGAAATTGTCATCACGTGGCCTCCCAAAGTTAGAAATATGCCTTCCCCGCCACGGGCAGCAGAGCTCCCTACCATCTCAGGCCAGCTGAGGTGTGACTCTGCTGAAAGCTGGGGACAGAAACCATGGACTGCCAGTAAAAGCAAACGGAGACCAGTAGCTACATAAGGCCTGAGTGTCGGAAGGTGTTGGGTAGGAAGGCGAAGGAGACTTCAGGAAAAGGGACCAGCATATGCATATGCAAAGGCCCGGAAGTGAGACAGGTTGTCATCTTAGGGACCGCAGAGGGTTCTCCGTCACCAAAGAATCAAGGGCCAGGGGCCTCGGAAGAGGGCCAGTGGAGGCCTTGCCGGTGAGCTCAGCCAGGTCGTGGACTCCATTTGGAGATCCCTCCAGGGCTTGGCAGGTCATGAATCAATTGGGGTTTGTCACAGGGTCGCTCAGAGATTCAGGGGGATGGTAAACAGGAAACCCTTGATTCAGCAGTACCTGGTGCACAGTTTGCAAGCCTGGAAAAGGAGCAGTGGGGAGCTGGCAAAGCGTTTTAGTAGGCAAGAGCCCTGCTCTGCTTTCCATTTTGGTGAGATTCTGTGCTCTTCAGCATGGGGAAGAATCCCTTTACCAGGATGGTGGGGGTTGGACAGGGCCTGCCTTGCTCCTTTTCTTAGCACCTGCTGCTGCTGGAGAGGAATCTGCTGGGGCTGCTCTGAGGCCAGACCCCAGATTCCTGGCCTTAACCCTGGTGGAGGAGTGAGCTAGCGAGAGCGAGGATGCTCACTCGTGGCTGTCCTCACTGGCCTGCCCCACATAGGCCCGAGCCTGGGGAGAGGGGGGCGCGGGGTGGGGGTGTTGTCTAGAGGCCACAGTGGCCTGCTCCCTGGGCTCCTGGGAACCTCTCCTGCCTCCCCCCAGACTCCCCACCCCTACCCCTGCCCCCTTGTTTGAGATCTACAGGAAAGTGGAGAGAAGAGTCTAAGAAACGAATGTGCAGGTACCCTGCACCTAGACTCAGCAATCCAGCATCTGCCGTGTTTGCCTCATCTGGCTTTGTTTTGTGCTGAATTGTGCACTTCCGATCACACTTCGTGACACTTTGCTCCTTCATATAGCAGGCGTCTGCTAAGAATGAGGACTTTTCCTACAGAGTCATGATGCCGTTACCACAGCTGACTGTTCGTAGTAGATACTTACCAATCTCTGCATGTCCATGTCTACTAGAATTTCCCCAGTTGTCCTCAAAATGTTTTTCTAACCAGGATTCCTTCAAGGTACTTGTCTCTTTGGCCTTTTAACCTTGTTCAGGCTTGTCTTTTCCCCCCACAAAACATTGATTTTTTTTTTTTTATTTTTTTTCCCCAACAAGCCGGGCTAGTTGTCTTGTGGAATGTCTCACGCTAGGGATGTGTTATTCTACTGCCTTTTGGCACTGTTTACTTTGTTCTTCTGTGCCTATGTTTCCTGTAAACCGGAAATTAGGGCTTGAGCAGGGTTGGCAAACCACGGGCTGGCCTCCTGTTTTTGCAAAGAAAGTTTTATTAGAACACGCCATGCCCATTCATTTACAAATTATCTATGGCTGTTTTGCCCTACTTGGCAGGGTTGAATAGTTGTAACCGAGATTGTATGGCCTACAAAGCCTAAAATATTTATTCTTTGGCCCTTCCCAGGAGAAGTTTGCAGATGTTTGGTCTGAGTGGGTATACTTAATAGTGCATCATGTTATTATGACCTTTTAATGTAAATCTTACTGTGTCATTTCTCTGCTTAGAACTCTGAGTGGCTTTGCTTCCACTGGGAGTAAACTCCAGAGTTTATGCCATATTCTTTTTTTTGAACATTTTACTTATTTGGGGGGTGGAGAGAGTGTGCACATGGGGGGAGGAGCAGAGAGGGAGGGACAAGCAGAGTCCGCACTGAGCATGAAGCCCGATGCAGGGCTCTATTCCACGGCCCTGAGATCACGACCTGAGCTGAAATCAATAGTCCTATGCTCACCCAACTGAGCCATCCATTTTTTTTTTTTAAGTGGGCTCCACGCCCAGCACCCAGCATGGAGCCCAATGCGGGGCTCAAACTCAGGACCCTGAGATCAAGACCTGAGCTGAGATCAGGAGGTGGCCACTTAACTGACTGAGCCAGCCAGGGGCCTCAGTTTATGCCATATCCTCCTAAGTGCTATGTGATCTGGTCTCCTCTCCAGATCCTTTTCTATTGCTGGTTTCCTCACTGTAGCCACACTGGTCTCTTTGCGATTCCTTAAACCTGCCAGACACACTTCCTGCCTCAGGCCGCAGTGTCGGTCCTGCTGTGTCACTCTCACAGTGGAGCTCGGGTCCTTCGCCGTGGTGGGGACGGGAGGAAGCGGCTGGCCCACGCTGCCCTCATGGAATCGTGCTTGCTGGTGCCTTGTCTCTCCTCCACCCCTCGGCCACCTGGCACCCTTTGCCTGGAGGACTGCCATAGTCTCCTGATGCTTGCTCTCCGTGCCCCCGATCCGCACCCCACTGCAGCTGCAGGTTGAAAACAGAAGTCACCCCCTGCACAGACCCTTTAGCGGCTTCCTGGGCCATTAAGGATGAAGATGTCTGTCCCTAACCCAGTGCAACATGGAGCCCGGCGTGTGCTGGTCCGGTCCTGCCTCCTGCCCTCGACCCCTCCATTCCTCTCTGTCACCACAGCCATGCGACCACCTGCAGACACCCCAGGCTTGCCGGCTGGCTGGGCGAATTCTCACGGCAGCCCTTTGAGGTGCTTGTTCTGTGCCAGGCACTGCCCTAAGTACTTTGTGTTTCCTGCTCATTTCGCCCTTACTGTGCACGAATCTCATCCCCGCTCTTTTGTCAGCCAGCTGAGGCACAGGAAGGGACAGACCTCGGATTGACGCCAGGCCATTGGCTGCAGAGTCTGCTTTTCAGCCTGTGTGTTGTGCCCTGGTGCACGGGATGCAGACCAAGGCCTGAGAAGTAAGGTCCCTCAGGGCCCCACGGCCAGTTTGGACTCGAACTCTGGGCCCAGCAGCCTGCTCCCAGGCTGGTCTGCACTCGGCGTAGTGCTGCCTGGGGGAGCGTGGCTCCTCCCGCTGGGCCTCTCGCGGCCCTGGCGCCCACAGGAGGGATGAGAAGGCCCCTGAAAGTACTCAGTTGACGGGAGAAGTGCTTTGAGGGCGGTAGGGACTTGGCGGGTTTGTGTCCTTCAGCTTCTGCTGGCTGGCTGTGTCATTGGGTACCTGCTTGCATCTCTTCCTCAGTCTCCTCTTTTATAGAACGGGGTGAGTAGCAGCGCCTACTTGGGAGGGTTGGGAGCAGACTCCGAGGTTATGGCACGTAAAGCACCCGCACAGCTTCTGGCCGCAGTGCGCTCTGCGAGCTGATGGTGTTCCCCTTGCTCTCTGGTGGGGGAGTCCTGCTCAAAACGGTGGCCAGGCCCAGAACTCCCAGTGGGCGCTTTCCTTCACTCCAAGCCTGGGCTCCACGGCGCTGTGTCCCTTATTCCCTGAGCCTTCCTGCGGGAGGGCCCTGCTTGATACCTCGGGCCTCATCTGGGAAGGAAGCTGTTACTGTCGGGGAACTGTGGCATGGTGCCAGAAGGAGCACAAGGGCCCGATGTGAGTCTCAGCTTTGTCACCTCCTGTGTGTGTGACCCCCACAAGTGACTCCACCTCTGTGTGCCTCTGTTTCCACATCAGAAATGCCCCCCTCTCTCCAGTGTTCTTGATGAGTGTGGAAGGAGCTGGTGTCTGTGGAGCCTTTATTTTTCTCATCATGTCTCTGGAGAAAGGAGGTTGGTCCCCCTGGGGGCTCCCTTTTGAGGGCTGGAAGGCACAGCAGTCCCAGCTCTGGGTGGGAGCTCCCCTCTGCCCCAGACACCATGTTGCAAACCCTTAAGGAGTACCCTGGACAGAGGCCCTTGCTTTTTCTCTGGAATTCTGTGCTGCAACCTTGTAATTTTGGTCCAGTTGGAACAGGATCGGGGGTTTGTCCGGCGGTGGGAGAGCCCCAGTCACCCCTGAACAACCTCCTCCACGTCTGCGGGTTCCTTGGCTCCCTGTGGTCCTGGGCAGCATGAGCCAGGGTGGAGGGCATAGGTCCAGGCCTCACCCAGCGTTTTGAACACCTTCTTGGAGTCAGACGCTTCCCGTGTACCATGCTCTATACGCAGCGGCTCACCTGCGCCTCAGCGTCCCTGGTCTGCCGAGGATGGGTGAGCTTGCCCTGGGGGCAGAATTGCTGTTTGAGCCCCAGCCCGTGAGGCTCCGGAGCTCCTGCTCCTCATCACCAGCTCTGCAGCCCAGGGAGGCCCCTTGGAACTGCTTCCAGTGCTCCCGTGGTGTGGATGAACCATCGTTTATTTATCCAGGCTTCTGTTGATGGACTTTGTGTGTTCTCCCTTATAAACAGAGATGATAGATGATGGCACCCTCTGCGTCTTAGTCTGTAATTTGCTTTTCTCACGTGACAGTACCTCAGGATCTCTGTACATGAGATATATACGTATTTTGTTCTTTTTTTTTTTTTTTAAGGATTTTATTTATTTGTTTGACAGAGAGAGACACAGCGAGAGAGGGAACACAAGC